CTTTCCCTATCATTTCACTAAAATAATAAAATTTCTTTCCATATCATTTTTCATTCAATCTGTTACATACAGTTACTGTATAAGTGGTTAAGTTAGCAATGTGGAAATATTGGCGAATTTTGCAATTTGACAAAAGTAACTAAAATTTCCTCTAGCATACATGTCAATATCAACCGACCTTTCATTAAGTTCTACCCTGACATGATTCGCTTATACATTTTGTATTTCCTCTCATGAAATGTCTGGAATTTTAAATTCACTAACTTTTCGACACGCGGAATTATCCACTTATACAGTATTCTCTTTACAAGCAATGGAATCACTATCCTATCACATGTACACTGTAAAATGCTATCCCCTGGTGCTGTTTCACCCCCCCCCCCCCCCCAGGTAAATAAAAGCTTATGCATAAAATATCATCAAAGCATTAGAACACAACTCTGAAAAGCAAAGTCACAACTGAAAATGTTCACTAACAGATAACCATGTATAACTTTTACAAGTAACAACATATATACATCTCTATGGTAACAAACTGACCCAACATTTGACCTTTATAAGATAATTCATGGGGAAAAACTTTTAGTCCAGTCAGGCACTCTTGTTTTCATTTTGTCTTGTTGATTGTTGCGAAATGGTTTTTCTGTCAGAAGTAAATGGTTATAACTAGTATTTTAATCACAATTGACAGAGTGTCATCATTTATTGCAATTTCAACTGATTCACTGGTCGATTTCTACAATTTTGGGACCTATGTACGATTATCATTAAAGGTCAAATGTCAAGGTCAGATGTAAAGGTCAAAGTATACAGTAAATGTTTTTATAACACAGATATTTATGTAACACTAACTGCTATCATATCCAAATATTAGAGAAACAAAGGATTCTTGCTATAAATCAAGCTTGACAACCAGTCTACAGTTGTATAAATTCTGATTGGTCAATTCAAATTCCATTTGATAAAGTTATCCAATCAAAATAAGACATTTGTAGACTGGTATTAAACTTGACTTATATTACAATTAAGCCAAATGTTACAAATATTCTGAACTGATTAAAATAGAATTCAACAAAACTCAGACACATTCCTGAAACTAAGCTCACGAAATAAAATGAGCTTAAATCATCATGTTCTAAAAATAGCATCAAAGCTCCCTCTGGTGGTGAAACAAAAACAGTAAGCACACATAAGCTAAATATTTCAGATCTCTGTAAAGGTAAATAGTATATCTAAACACAACATTTACTATGCTTTAGAATGGTAAACATTGAAGATGGATGAAATAATTTGAATTAACTAATTTGTTAACAATTCAATAATTTCTATATGACACTACTTGCTGGTAAATAAATACTTTATATTTCATGAATAATCAACGTAAAACGTGTTAACACATTAATAATAGTGTAGTAATACTTCAAACAGATCAAGAACCTTTTTGGGGAGTGAAAAAAAAAGTTCCAAAAAGTAGTTCCGAAATGTAGAAATACTACATAACTCTATGATGCTTACATTATCGAAAATAGAGAGAGTTTGAAATATTTTAAATTCTATATTAAACAGTAAGATAAACACAAGATTCTAAAGAAAGGATCAAATTTTGTGGGTGATAATTCAGTTATAATTCACACACATTTCACTAAGCCTATGAATTTATAACTATAAAGTCAGTCACTGCACATACTTCGCTGGCCCATATATTCAATTTAACCTTTAACCTTCTGAATTGGTATTATATACATTTGCCAGTTGAGTTTTTGAACATACCATTCAAAGTTTAAGTGGATTGGTCTAATGGTATGGGTCTACAACTTGCCACATTTTCCATTAGTATTTCAAATATTGATAATAACAACAGAAATGTATCATTTTGAATATTCTTATAAAGTGCTGCTTAAAAAAGAGATGCTGATAAAATTCTAAATGATTTAGAATAACTATTTATCTGATGAATAATGATATTATGTTCTAGAATGTTTAATTACCTGCTATATGAATATAATTTTGTGTATCAATAGTATTTGTAATATCGTATTGATAAAAACAACAGAAATGTATCATTTTGATTATTCTTATAAAATGGTGCCTTAAAAAAATAATGTTGATAAAATTCTAAGTGATTTAGAAAGACCAATTTATCTGATGAATTATAATATTTTGTTCTAGAACATTTTTTTTACCTGCTATATGAATATAATTTTTGTAATATGGTATCATATTTCACAAACTTGCCAACAACTTCTATACATGTATAGTTTTTTTAAGGTTTTTTTATGTCTAATATTTAATACTATCAACATAATTATTCATTGTATCATCACAGACCTTCTACTACAGACCAAGTAATTTTAAAGCCTTTCAATAGTCTGTTCCAAATAACTCAAAGCAGGGCTAATCCACTTTAAGAGTTTTCAATAAGAAATTACCGGAAGTTTTAGCTACCACCAGTATAGAGCCTGGTCAGACTGTTAAACGGACGTTCAGGCTGTTACACGGACGTTCAGGCTGTTACACGGACGTTCAGGCTGTTACCAAACGTTCAGGCTGTTACCAAACGTTCAGGCTGTTACACGGACGTTCAGGCTGTTACACGGACGTTCAGGCTGTTACACGAACGTTCAGGCTGTTACACGGACGTTCAGGCTGTTACACGGACGTTCAGGCTGTTACACGGACGTTCAGGCTGGCCTGGCTCTATACTGGTAGCAAATTTTAATGCCAGTTACAATATATAATTCATTTCAATAGGTCAAAGGTTAATATGGTCATGTGATAATATATGCACAAAAAATTGTGAAAAATTGAGACAATAAAGCTTAAAATATCACAAGTTTATCTTTTCAAATTCTACTGAAAAAACTACAAAACCTATTCATATTTTCTTAGATCCAATTAATCGATGCAATTTCACATAAACTAGAAAATCCATTCTCACATTTTTCACATTTAACTTCTTTCAACTTCAGGTTTACTATGTAGATAAACAAATAAAAACCACTTTTCTGAAAATTCACATGCTTAAAAAATTAATGATATCTTTGATTTTCACATTTTTTGCAACTTTCACATTTTCAAATTTTTGTGTACTTCATAGCGTTTCACAATAATTATTAAATTTTTTTATTTAAATTGTTTTGTTTTTCACTTTTTTAAGGTGCCAAAGCAGTAATGATGACTTCAAAAACTGTTTTAATTCACTAAATTACTAATTGAAAATACTTTAAAAATAATTTTACTCCTCTGCATGTTAAAAAGATGAACCAGTGGTTTTAGACTAGCTACAGGGTCAATGTATTTTATTATACTCTAGTATATTGCAATACACCCATTGACAGTCTCTACATAAACTACGTAAATAACTGAGGTATATCGAGCGAGAAAATACGAGGCTAGTTTCCCTAGGCTTATTTTAGAGTAACATCAATATCTCTTATGCTAAAACAATACAAATTTAGCCATTTTTTTAACTGCTATTTTGGGGCGATTTAATGTCCGATTTTAAGATTTATTACACCATGAACAATGAAAAGGTTGTGATTTTAGCTTCGTCTCCGTATATATTTCAACACATTGTTTGGCATGAAAGGTATCTAAATTTACAGTCAAACCTACCACAAATCAGACCATTTTACTTACGTTTTATACAGTGAGATACATGTATGCAATCGGTTATCTTTACTCGCAATTCTAATGATAAGAATAGCCTGTCCTCTGCTAGTTCAGTTCAGAAACTGTCAATCGGTGTATTACTATAAATATATACATGTAATTTCTCTCAAATGAAGCACAATAAATGACACTTTCTTACAGATAAACCTACCACCTGGCATTCAAAAATCAAAATAAGACCATCCTACATGTATGAAAAAATCAAAATCAGCTCATTTTAAGCAGTGTATAGTTGAATGGAAATTAAAACAAGGTATTCAAGAAGAAAGATTACACTTTTTAAAACATTAAAAAAAATGCATATAAATTGTGACTTAGATACGGGGGAAAAAATATTATAGAAATATTATAATTAATATCTGAACAAAACGAGAATGATCAATGTTTTACATGTTTACCAACTCTTTATTCTATATAGTATTGACTGAGATTTTGGATAACTTACTTTCAGGTAAATCTTATATATACAAATTACAGCACCACATCAATTGCACAGTTATAATAGAAACATGTAAACAATCAAATTCATGTAAAATGTAAATGAAATCAAATAAACAAACAAACAAAACCAAATGTATGAACATGTGCCAATTACATTAATCATTCAAAGATGTGCCCCATTTTATTCATATACCTAGACATTACAGTATTTAACGACTATTTAAAGCAAATGAATATTTTTTTCAAAACAGTTATACACTAAAATGACCCAAATGATCTAGAAATGACCCAAATGATCTATGAATGACCCAAATAATCTAGAAATGACCCAAACGATCTTTAAATGACCCAAGTCATCTGAATTGACCCAAATGATGTAAACATGACCAAAGTGACACAAACTTTAATCATACATATTGACATTGATTAGGTGGAATTTATGGAAAGAAAGTTAAGGGGTAGCTAATATTGAGTTATAAAAAGGCTTTTTAACTATTGAAGACAAGATTTAATAATCCTTTTTTAATGATGAAAAAAAACACTTTTTTCCAGGGCTCAGTTAATTTATATGCAAAGTAAATAGGAAGAAATCAATATAACGTAGCTATTATATTTAACTTTAAATAGAAATTCTTTATCTTTGATTATAATTAACATTTTTATCGATTGAACATTATTCGATCTAAGATATCATAAAAATAGAAAAATCATTTAATAAAATAATAATATATAAATTAATAAATAAATAAAATGCTTCTGGTAAATAAAGACAACCCCAAAAACAACAAACACCATTTCTTTGATAGATGAATATAAACACAAAGTTCTTGAATTGTTTCCTAGATATAAAAATTTAGATTTTCAAAAAAACCCAAAAAAACCTCTTCCTAAACACTTTTAACTGTTAACTAAGCCCACTTATAAACTTACGTTTGTAAAAGCTGAAAATATTTACAAAAGTTCAAAGTTTAGATACAAGTAAAATAGACAATTCAAATTTATTTCCTCATTTCCCACAAAGAAAATGTAACTTAATGAAATGCTTAAAAATGTCATTCCTTTTTCTAATGATCAAAATCTGTGCCTTATTCCAAATCCCAAATGTAAATATTTCCAAGCTAGAAAACATACAATTTCCAAGCAATGAGAATCACAATATAACATATAAAATATCACCAAATAATACAATAAATAATTAAAATATTGCACAATTCACAATGCTTTCCTCCACTATTACAATGTGGCAGTGTTTTTCTTTGAACTGTTATGCCCATTTTTATCCAGACTGGTACTTGACGATTTCTTCACAGGTGACGGTGCAGACTGTACCAGTCTCGGTGGTTTTGGTGGGCCGGAAACTTTGCTCGCAGAGTTTTTGACTGGTTTTGTACTTTTAACACTCTTTTCAGTTTGTTTAGCATTTCTTTTTGGGAAATGTTCATTTTTGTTAGTGACTGGTTCATGCTTCGATACACTTTTTCTCGGCTGTACTTTAATATCCGAATCAGTTGAAGCTTTGGTTAATTTTGAAACCGGTACCGGACTGGTTTTTGAAATTCCAAAACTCCAGCTCCATCTATTGGTCGGTCGAGGAATTCTGCTCACAGGTTTTGCATCTTTCTTTTCTGGTTTTGCAGACGGCAGTAAAAGCTTATCAAACAAGTTCACTATGTCAAATGACACACGTTTGGAATTTCTGTTCTCATTTGAACTTTCAGTATTCTTTTCTCTTAACTTGACTTCAGTCTTTTGTTCACCTACTTCAGGAGTTTCTTTAACAATTTCTTCTGCATTCTGTTCTTTTTCAACAGTTTTATTGTCTTTTTCAGAGTCGTCTGCAAATCTGTACTCTGTCACCCCTTTTTTGTACGTCCTGGCTGAGCCAAACTGATAACCAGTCAAACGTGTAACCAGACTGGACGCAGAACTCGTCATAGACTGTGTCAGGGACTGGTTGGCTGTATTTTCACCAAGTCTTGCAGCCATTGTTGAAAACAGTGAAACAAATCCAGTCTGACTGTTCTGACTAGATCGCAGACTATCTGAAGGTGAAATAATTGGGTCACAGTCCACACAACTTAATCTAGCGTCTTTATAAATCAGTTGCTGATTTTCACGCAAGTTTTCCAAAATCTGCTTGTATGGTTTTTCAACTTCCTGTTCGGCATCTTCATTGAAACTAAAAGATCCAGACACTTGGCTGGAGGTGCTATTTGAATCAAGCATTGGATTGGCTGAATCAATTGTCTCCGACCTTGACCTAGATTCTGAAAGGTCGGAATCAGACGAGGTTTTCTTCTTAGGGAGAGCAGCATTTGCTAGCCAACTCAGTGCCTTTGAAGCTGTGATTTCAAGCATGCTGGTGACTTCCTTTGACGAGCTCTGATTGGCTGAAGACTCGGAAGAAATGCTCTGATTGGTTACATTTGTTGCTATGGCATCAGACGAACCAGTCATCTCTTGTGCTTTGAATTTAGAATCAGTCAGTGCTTTTTCTTTAATAAATTCCATGTCCATGTGAAACGGTAGTACAGCCAATTTTTGTATTGAAGTGACTAGGTCATCGTACTGCTTTTTAAGAGCAGTGTTTGAATGAACGAGTATGGCACCACTGTTGTAAAATTTGGACAGCTGTTCCTCTTTCTGGCTTAGATATCCCATCCAGAAATCTAGTACTCTCAAACTGAAAAAGAATACATAAACAGTGGTCAAACAGACATTTTTCTACACATAGACTGCACCACTTGCTTCTTTCAGTACTAATATGAAAATTTTATTCTTATGAAATTATCTTAAAGTTATCAACTTTAATATTAGACCAAAATTAATGCTTTGATTTGAAACATTAGACAATTTGAAACATTAGACAAAGTTTTGTTATTTTACAAAACTTATCATGAATCTACAGATTCAATATGACTTAACATACACAATGAACTGGGGATGGTTTATTGAATTGTAGGAAGAAGAAGTGTTAAACAAGTGGGGAAAATAATTCAAAAACATACTTGAGAAGTCCAAAGATGAAAGCATCAAATTTCTGTTGGTGGGTAGTTAAGTATGTTGTTTGCTTCACTTTCTGTACAAGGTCACACAATAAACGCGTCTGTGGAACTGAAATGCAAATATAGAATGATATTTAACATGAGGTGGTGGTGGTAGTAGTTTTCACTCCAGATCACGATAGTAAGCCACATTGAATTTAACAGAGCACAGTTTAGCCTCCACATTGTTCCTGGGCAGGGCAGTCAAGCAGTTTACCAGTAATAGTTGCCTTCGTTTCCGCAAGGAACTGATACTTCTGTACATGCCAGAGCAGAGGTACAGTGTGAAAGACGGTACAAAAGATTTCATCATCAATCATAACACCTGCACCATCCAGGAATCAAACCAAGGTCGCCCGATTCACAGTTCAATGCTCTACATATTGAGCTAACCAGCTAACCAGACAGCTCAAACATGTAGTCAGTTACAGCAATTTTATATATTTGATCTCTTACTAGTACATATTACAGAACAGATCAGAACAGAGATACAATTAAACACTAACCATACCAATATCTTTATAAACGACAAAAGATACTTTTAATGTGAAACAATTGTTTAATGGATTTTATAATATCTAAAATGCCCGTTATGCACAACAACCGAGTCTATTTAGCCTGACCCTATAGATTCAAATGGTGGCAAAGGCAAATATATACAAAATTTAACAATCAGATATAAGTCAAAATACATACACCTAAATTGTGATTGTTTTATGTCACAGGGCTTCTATTAAGTTTCAAAATTTGGAAGTCAGATTATATAGGTAAAGAAGGAATAGTATTAGATTTTGGAAGTCACAAGCTAAAATCAAGGAGTAAATGACTCCCAAACATCCACTTACGAAAGCCCTCTTTATGAATGAATATTGGTAAACTTCCAATATAATTCTAAGCAACTAATAGTACAAGTTTGGTAAGACTGCCCAGATGTTTTTGCATGTAGGGGACCTGGCTGTATGATGACATAAATATGTTTGCCATTTTGGCTAGTCAACTGTATAAATGATGGTAAAACTGCACATATATGCTTTGTATGTAATGTTGTTTTCCCTATACTGATGATGAATGGCCGCCATTTAGGTTAGCAAACTGTATAATTTAGGTCAGACGACACCAACAATTTGTAAACAAAACCTGATCATTCTACACCGATAACATATGAGCAGCGCCATGACAAAACCAGCATAGTTTGCGACCAGCATGGATCCAGACCAGCCTGCGCATCCACACAGTCTAATAAGGATTCATGCTGTTCGCTTACAAACCTGAAATTGATAGCGAACAGCATGTATCCTGATCAGACTGCGGGCCTGAATCCTTGCTGGTCGCAAACACACTATGCTGGTTTTGCCATTGCACAGCTCATATGTTTTCCATTTATATAAAGGCTATAACTGCATAGCCAACTGATCAATTGAGGTCAGACTGCACAGACATTTCTTGAGTATGGCGGCCATTTTGGGTACAGTTACTCGGAAGAATCATTCAATTCACTCACCAATTTCAACCGATGCCTCAACCACCTTCCACACAGTGATCTGTACGCTTCCAAACATCTGGAATCCTGCTAGATGGTGCTTTAGTCCGTCTCCCAGAACTGCGCTCAGTGCGGTACACAGACGCGTCAACACGATTTCACCCAGTTCTGGTGTCTCTGTCGTATTTCCAAGTCGCAACTGTAAGAAAATATCATCAAATATTAATGTCAACAGCACCGAATGTAAAGTTCTCTGAAGTACATTTTAAGCTCAGTTTTAAAAGAAATCCACTGAGGTTTTTTGATGTGAAGGGATCGAAAATATTTTTTCAAGATTTTTGTATAACTCAATGTATGTCTAGAACAATAACTCATGTAAAAAATTTCAGATCATTCGCTCACTCCTTTTCCATGAAATAATCAATTTTATTATGAAATTTGGCACAATAAATGAAAACCGTTTAAACGCTTTTCACTCAAATCGTCCAAAAATCACATAAAAATCGATTATCAATTTAATACTGTGTATATTTATATATCACCTATTGCTTGGTTTCAAATTTAAGTGTACCAGTTGATTTCAGAAAGAATTTCTAGTTTTATTATTCTAGGCTATTGGACGTCAGTGGAGTTCCTTTAATTGCGCATGTGAAATGTAGAGAGCATTGGGAAATTATATTGCCTTCACTGACCACTCCTCATTCTCATTTGAGCTCCTTCACTGAAGGACCTTTACAACTCAGTTTTAATTATACTGGTACAGTTGGCCTAGTGGTTAAGGCGTCCGCCTTCGGATCGGAAGGTCAAAGGTTCGAGCCCCACGGGGAGCGATAATTTAAGGAGGAGTGTTTCTTGTGTGACTCGTTCCAAAATGGCCATTTTGTAAGCCACAAGGTATTTAAAATTAATGATTACCAATTTCTATAATTATGCCTGCGCCTGGCATATTGGCAGGAATTGGGAGGTACATGGTATGCAAGCAAAAGGTGTCTCATAAGTCAGAAATGGTTGGCCCTTTCAGTAGGGGTGACACTGTAATTAACAAGACCTTTACCATTTATACATGTGAAATTTTGTGTGAATTTTATTAGAATGAACTGTAATACGTACCTTGTCGAAAGTGTCTCTAGATTTCTCGAAATGAGCAAAGAGAACATCAGCTGCTTTGGAAACGGACATCAACAATTCTGAAGAATAAATTAAACAATTATATCACCATGAGATATTAACTGAATAAATAAAATAATGATTGGGCGACTAGAAACTTGTGATTGGGGGACTAGATACTTATGATTGAGAGATTAAAAATTCATGATTGGGAGACTAAAACTCATGAATGGGAGACTAAAAAATTCATGATTGGGAGACTAAAAATTCATGATTGGGAGACTAAAAACTCATGATTTGGAGACTAAAAAATTCATGATTGGGAGACTAGATACTTATGATTGGGAGACTAAAAATTCATGATTGGGAGACTAAAACTCATGAATGGGAGACTAAAAATTCATGATTGGGAGACTAAAAATTCATGATTGGGAGACTAAAAACTCATGATTTGGAGACTAAAAAATTCATGATTGGGAGACTAGATACTTATGATTGGGAGACTAAAAATTCATGATTGGGAGACAAAAACTCAGGAATGGGAGACTAGAAATTCATGATTGGGTGCCTAAAATTAATACTCATGATTGGAAGACTAAACATTCATGATTGGGAGACTTAACATTCATGATTGGAAGACTAAATACTCATGATTGGGAGACTAAAAACTCATGATTGGGAGACAAAAAATTCATGATTGAGAGACAAAAAACTCATGATTGGGAGACTAAAAACTCATGATTTGGAGACTAAAAAATTCATGATTGGGAGACTAGATACTTATGATTGGGAGACTAAAAATTCATGATTGGGAGACTAAAACTTAGGAATGGGAGACTAGAAATTCATGATTGGAAGCCTAAAAATTCATGATTGGGAGCCTAAAATTAATACTCATGATTGGAAGACTAAACATTCATGATTGGGAGACTTAACATTCATGATTGGAAGACTAAACATTCATGATTGGGAGACTTAACATTCATGATTGGAAGACTAAACATTCATGATTGGAAGACTAAACATTCATGATTGGGAGACTTAAAATTCATGATTGGAAGATTGGGAGACTAAAAACTCATGATTGGGAGACAAAAAATTCATGATTGAGAGACTAGATACTTATGATTGGGAGACTAAAAATTCATGATTGGGAGACTAAAACTCAGGAATGGGAGACTAGAAATTCATGATTGGAAGCCTAAAAATTCATGATTGGGAGCCTAAAATTAATACTCATGATTGGAAGACTAAACATTCATGATTGGGAGACTTAACATTCATGATTGGAAGACTAAACATTCATGATTGGGAGACTTAACATTCATGATTGGAAGACTAAACATTCATGATTGGAAGACTAAACATTCATGATTGGGAGACTTAAAATTCATGATTGGAAGATTGGGAGACTAAACATTCATGATTGGGAGACAAAAAATTCATGATTGGGAGACTAAAAACTCATGATTGGGAGACTTAAGATAGTGGTGGTTGCCAGAGAGGTGTTGCTCAGGAGAGGTTAAGTTTACTGTGATGTTCTTATATTGGGCTATTGATTTAAGAAGTTATTCCTTTTTTTTTTCTTTTATAAACTAAGTTTGCTGTACATGCACATGTATTACAAATTTGTTATCTAAAATTCTCGACAGATTATATGGCCATATATAAATGGTAGTTTGCCATATACTTGAGCCACTATCCATGAACAATTATACAAGCTGCTATATAATGCAAACAACCTTTTATAATGATATATACTGCCATACAACCTGTTCAAATTGTTTATAACTATAAATTTACAGGCATGAAAACAAAATCATCTTGTTCGTCACCTTAGTGTAATAACGGGCAAACTCCTTATATAATTTAATAGGGAGTTAACACAATGCAAAGTAATTGATTCAATTTTCACTGACCACTTTACAATCTGGTGCCATGACAAAAACAGAAATTATAGATATTTTGAGACATAAGAAGAGAAGAAGTGCACACTAGGCTGTGATAACCATAAACTTGGCAAATTAGAAGAATATGTGGGGGATAATACGCACTTGAATATGTGAGCGAAAATATGCACTTGAATCGTGGGCGATAATACGCACTAGAATATTTGGGAATCAATACGCACTTGAATTTGTGGGCGTGAATATGTGGGCGTCAATACGCACTTGAATATGTGGGGGATAATACACACTTGAATATGTGGGGGATAATAAGCACTTGAATCGTGGGCAATAATACGCACTTGAATATGTGAGCAATAATACGCAATTGAATATGTGGGCGATAATACGCACTTGAATATGTGGGCAATAATACGCACTTGAATATTTGGGCATAAATACGCACTTGAATATGTGCGTGATAATACGCACTTGTCTACCGTTCTTATTATCAAAATGGCGTAATATACCTATTTTCTCCATCATGACGTCTTCAAACCAGAGATTATCATTGGTATCCATGGCGATATGGAACTCATTCGGTGGCGAGTCAGAACTGGAACTACTACCAGGGGTCTCTATATTTGACAACAAGGTGGGAGGTGCATCCTCACTGGTTACATCAGGTTTGGTACCATCAGCATTGTCCGTGCTTTCTGTTGGTTTCTTGTCTAAAAATACAAAAAAATATAATTACATTCTCTATTGGTTTAAACATATTTATTTAAACTTGATTGCGAAACAAGTTCTACCAACATATATTAATCACTTTCGAGTCCACTTCCTGGAACCAACCAGTGCTGGTGTCATGAAAAAACATGGTCGTGAACCTGATTACATTTCGAACCCATGTTCCCTGGGTTGAGAGGCAGACACCTTAACCACTAGGCCACCGCTCCCCTCATTCTCTATTAAAGGAGCTCCACTTAGGTCCAAAAATCTTAAACATAAATTTTGAATTTTCTTACATAGATCAGCTTGGGCACTTACAGCAGAAAGATAAGCAAATTAAGAAATATACTCAGAAATAAAATGAAAATCATATATTTGATTTATTCTTTGCATGATTTCAGTTAAAAGCTTCTCTGTTTATAAAGATTAAGGCTATTATTTAGAATTAAAATAAGTATCCAAGTGAGCAAATTATCTGAAATGTTGCACACATCAAGGTCAATCTGTGATGTTAGTTAAGGCAGGGCTATGAATGCAAATTAACATATGTTCTGATACTTGTAATAACACAGGGGGCGTGGTATCTGTAGGGAGTACTGTATAAGGATGGATGCAACCTGTTTTAAAGGCCCATTTAAACCCAGAAATGCTATATTTTTTTATTACTTAAAAGCTTTTTATTTTTTGGTGTCTTCTTATAGTTTGCAAAAATTTACTCATTTGTTATTTGTAACATTAACCATCTTTTTGCTTCTGTTTGCATATTCGCATTATAGTATAGTTAGAGTGATCTAGTTTTTTGTATGGAAGTCAAAATTAATACATTTTGATAGTTTTATTTCACATTATTATTTCATATTTATCCCAACTTTCTACAGGTGACAAGTACCTAACATTATTTTACCATTATTAAACTCATGTTTGCGATTTCTTAAGAAGGAAAATTTCATTCGTTTAAGAGGCATAATTACTTACTAATTACGCATGTCAATAGTTATGCATGTAAACAGCTCTACAGTTTATTTTCTGTTTCATTTAAATATTATTTCTTCCTGTATCTCTATACTTTCATTTTCTGTTAAATTTACTTCCTTATTTACAAATTACAACGAAAAGATTAACAGTACAGTAGCATGCCCACAGATTTGTTTAACAAAAAAATTTGTTTAATGAAAACTAAAAAAACTTCTTTAACAAGATAAAATGTTGTCAAGGGAACAAATTATGTTGCTTAGCCTCAAAAATTAACTATAACATGCACTATAGCCTCAAAAATTATTATATTTACACTAAATAGTCAAAATAATCTCTCTTTTTTTCTCCTTTTTTATATTTTTTAAACTCTATTGGTAATCTTGAAGAACTTTGTTGATAAAAAAGTAATTTCTGTTCCATTCTGTACCAGAATGATATATTTAAACTTTCACCTTGATTATGTATATTTACACATTTTCTTAAAAACAAATATAAATATATTTATCTCAGTGTCAAGTTTTTTTTTAATTCATTTTACTCATTTGAAGGCATGCCTCTTTAAGAAGAATTAAAACATCACATTGCCTCTTGCCTATTGTTTTAAATCATACAAAGTGAAAGCACAACACTTATCAAAACCTGACCTATCCCATGTTACGAACTTTATCCATAAAACATGATCAAAATGTTCTAGTTTAAAATCCAATGAAACTTAAATTTCCTTGTTTTCTTTAACACTGTAATCGATCGACATATATTATTATAATTACCATAATTGTAAACCATGAGGTGTTAAAATTATTCCATAATTAATAACCTAATACAGGGTTTAAACAAGTGAAAGGAAGTACTTTATTTTCTAAATATAGAAATAGTCAAAAACATGTATATTTGTATAAATAAACAAAGGTTATTAAAGATACTATCAAGGTCAAATTCATTCAAGTGTGTCTCTTAACAATAAGGGGAACAACTCTGTGATCATTACAATAAGAATTTCCAAGAGTTGTTTCCCTTCAAGAAAAAAAACACAAATTGACCAAGACTGTAATTGTTTGTATCAAGATAGTCTGTATTCATTATATTAAATGAAAAGAAAATACCTACACAGAAAGTTCATAAACTCTACAGTTGTACAGGAATTGAGAATCTGGGATATGTTTTCAACACTTGAAATGTTTAGAGTGAAATTCTTAACAAATATTATCAAAGGGTATAAAGCTATATCTAATGAAGTAGTTTTATGAAATTTAATTTTTTTTTAATCATGAATTAATACATTGTAAAATTATGTTTTTATTTGTTTGGGTCATCAGACCAAACAAATAATGGTAGCGAAATTTCAGACTCTAATGCTGTTAATTGCAAATGCCGAAAGTAGTCCGCTTTTTTGAAGCGGTTACTTCCCTTTATATGTAACCCAAAGGCCGAAAAATTCAGGGGAGATCACTGTGTAAATATGGTCACATGACAGGCGCATTAATTTGCAAGCAAAATAATTCCGGAATGGTCGAAGATTTCTAATATTGTTTAATTCTTTATAGATATACAGTCGAAACTGTCTTAAGCAGCCAGCCAAGGGATGCAGTCATTTTGGCTGCTTAAGACAGGTGGCTGCTGAATGGAGGATCCAGTTTTTATCCAAATAAATTATTCATTTCTTTGTAAAATAAATCTGATTTAAGTATAAATAAACCAGTCTGATTCATCATCATCATCATCATCAGTTTTTAACCATTTACAAACGTATGCTTTTAATGGTTTAACATGTACACAATCCTTCCAACATATAAAGCTTTACATGAATGTAACACAGATAAACAAATGCACTCACGATTTATTATGTCAATAATTGAAACTATTTATCCCATAAAAATATCTTCTTGCACAATAATTTAAAATGCGTAATATTTTTTTCACAAAAAAAGTATGACAGTTTCTTTTTCTAACTTTTGATCAATAGAATATTGTGTACACGTCATCTAAGTGTCGGCACTTCCTTTGATGTTTCGGATTGAAACAGCAGGGCTACAGGTTTGTAAACATCAAAGATTCCTTTGAAGAGACCGCTAGTTACCTCTTAGAGGTCATCTAGTGTGTAAACTTAATGGGTGTGATTTAACAGTGACCTCATTATATTCATGCAATTTTATTTTCACACATGGAGCAAGTGTTTTTATTAATTTATTACTGAGGAATTTAGACAATCCGCGATGTAATTCATTTTCATTTCTTTGGTAAGTACCATGTACGCACAAAATTTATCTGAATCGGGATAAACTGAAATTTCTTTCTGCCATCGACAATGCATTTTTTTCTTCTTTCTTTTTTTTCTTAAAATCGGTAAATTGAAAAATAAAAAACTAGCGTACAGTAACTCAAAAGAACGAATTGCAAGTGCGCTGAGACGTTCCAAACGTTTGTAATTACGACACGGATGAGCAATTATGCAAACTTCTTGAAATGTTGTGGTTTGTGTTAATATCTAGCACTTGACAAGTAGCTTTTGTTAATCCGTGACACGTGTCATCTTTAAAAATAAATGACAGAAGATTGCCTGGCCGTTTCACCTGGCTGACCGCAGAAGATTGTCTGGCCGTTTCACCTGGCTGACCGCTTAAGATGACCGACTTTAAGATTCGGGAAGCATTTTAGGTGACCGTTGACCGCGGACAGCAGGTGACCGTTGAACAGATGTATAAAATAGAGTGGTTTTCGTCGGGAGCGTCACAAAATGGCCGTTAAGGTCAGGTGACCGCCGATAAGAGGTGGCCGTTAGTACAGTTTCGACTGTACATGCGTATAGTAAGCGCCATGATTATTAAACAAGTTACAAACCCTAATTTAGAATAATATGGTTTTCGTCAGGACGTTAACATATAAATTCACCGTTGCCGAGGGGTTTGCGCGCTCAGGAAGCGAGAGGTCTGGAGTTCAAATCCAAGTTAAGGCATCTCATTTTTTTTCAAATTGTTTAAGTCAAATAAACATTGGATTGAATATCAGTGTTGCAATTAGTCTTATAGCCAATCTACTACAATTAAAACGCTAGAAAGCATTGGTGGCACTATACAAAAACAAATTATTTTATAATCTCACAACTTTCACCTTTCTGACATTCTGAGACCCAAACAAATTCAGCGCCTTCTGTGCTTTGATTTTATATATCCTTATGGTAAATTCTTTAAAGAATTGTAACATGGAATGTCTGATTTATGTAACACATAATGAGAAATTTATGTAAACAGAATGATAAATTCAGTAACAAAATATTACGCTGCATCTTTATGCAAGTTTTTAAATGTTCAGCTATGATTTTGTGCATGCATGACATTTGCTCATAAGGAAATATACCAATATATTATCAACAGTATAAAAAAGTTGAATCAATGAATTGTTTTGACCTGAAAAAAATCATTTCTATTTGTTTTATACCTGTATCCACAACTTCTTCTTTTACATCCTCTTTCTTCCCATCATCCCCTGCTCCTTCTGTAATCACTTCCTGTCCGTCTGCTTCACCATCTGCTTCGCCAGTTTTCTCAGCAGATGTCTCCGCTGATTTGCTATCTGCAGCATTTGCCTGTCGTTTTGGCGATATTGCGGGACTTATCGACTGAAAGGAAACTTCGGAGGCGAAGCTGACGCTCTTCCGTTTACTATTGCCCTCGCGGTCCGTGGAGCTGTCACTGGCATGAATACTGTCTGAAGCCTGTATATTGAAGTTGGCCAAACTGCCGAAGTTCTCCATGTGATTCCGATGACCCTCGGTCATGTGACATTCCCCGTCTTTTCCTTGAATGAATATAAAACGCAAGTTTTATATAATTTTCCGGAAAAAATTACATATGACATTTGGTTTATACAGAAATTATTTTAGTTTTGATTGTGTAAGAAGCTTTAATATTAAGCTTTAATAAGCTTGTTGACACACTTTCTTATCCGATCCTGGAACCATCCAGTACTGAGCAATGAGTGTTTAGTTTCTATGTAAAATATAGAACATTATAAGATCTGAACCACTGAGACAAAATGATCTGAATCCTTCCTGATTATGTTTGCTGGGACCAATCAGTACAGTTGATTTATGACACAAAATGGTCATGGCCCTCTAGGGATTCAAACCAAACACCCTCATAATGAGAGATGTACACATTAACCAAATAAAGTCACTTCAGTCCTCTGTTATTTTATCTTGGAATTAATTATGATTAATACCCACATTTAATGAGTAATGGTAAACTTTTGAATTTAAAGGTACTCCACTCGGGTTAAAAAGCCTAAAAATATAAAATTTAAATTATGACATATTATCAAGTGAAGCACTTAAAATGGAAAACTCTGAGAAGGAGATATACTTAAAATCTAATTGAAAAAAATGAATTCTTAGGTCGATTTTTGCAATGCTTTTCATTTTTATATCTTTTTGCACAATAAAATTGAGTTAAATGGAAAACTGGGTGAGATAATGTTCTGAAAATTTGCATGCAGGTTATTGGTACAGACTAACTCAAATGGATTACAAATCTTGAAAAAATATTTTCAGTCCCGCCATGTCAAAAAAAAACTTCAGTCTAGTCCCTTTAAAGGCTTGTCTCATGTAAATGCATTATATTTAAAAGACCTTAAAACCATCCTGTGCATGCACTAGAAAATCAAGATAGATTCTTGCTTAAAATACAGACTATTTAATGCTATAATTTGGCTCCTAAGATTTTCTCTCTTAACTTTTTTTATGCTCATATTCAAAACGAATTAAAAGTAAAATCCAATATATCTTAACAGAAGATGGGAAGAACTTTCTCTTTTATCAATGTTAATATCACCTGCTAAAGTATATACAATACACATCTATCTTGACAGATATCCAACAATTAGATATTTACTTCCATGGGGGGGAACATACAGTTTCTATTTTTCCAATAATCTGGTGAAAAAATCAGGTAAGCAATAAAGTTCAAATTGTCAAGGGAGACAACCACACCTGGATAAATTGATTTTCCAGTTGGGTTTTTTATTGTCAAGGGAGGTAATTACCCTTGTTCTATCCGTGGTAATTGTGTACCACTGCCAAACTATGTTATTTTGGAAACTTGCCTGTTAGAACTATTCCTAACACTCAGTCAATGTTCACCTGAACTTGAAATCGAAACTCTCTCGACAAGCATTTTAATGAAAAATGAGCCGCGTCATGACAAAACCAACATAATGGGTTTGCGACAAGCATGGATCCAGACCAGCCTGCGCATCCGTGCAGTCTGATCAGGATCCATGCTGTTTGCTATCAGTTTCTTTACATGTAATAGAGTTGGTAAGCGAACAGCATGGATCCTGATCAGACTGCACAGATGTGCAGGCTGGTCTGGATCCATGCTGGTCGCAAACCCATTATGTTGGTTTTGTCATGACGCGGCTCAAACAGATTTTTCTCTCAAGTGGCAATTCATTTTTCCCTCTGTTTATATCTGATACAAAAGCTGGATAGAAATTTGAAGAAATGATTTTTTGTTTCCAGGATATCTAAACAACTCAATATTGAAGCATACTGTATACATGTAAATTTAATAACTTCAGAGTCTTTTTCTTGGACTGACCAGTACCAAATTTCAGGGATTTTTTCCAGGATTTTGGAAACACAACCCATGCCTATGGAATTAGTAGTTTCAGCGGTGTTTTGTTTAAAATTGGGAAAAATTGCATGACTGAAATTTTGCAGTGATTAAATGGATGCAAACAATCACTGTCTATGATGGCATCTTCAAAGATTTAAGCACTATTACAGTGAAGAAGCCCTTATTTGCAAAGATTTTAGAATTTTTATTCAATATATTTATTTTGTAACTTTCAATTGGGAAAATAATATACTATTTTCAGTTGGGAATATGACACAATAACGGCTATAAAATAAGCCGAACAAAATCCCTGCAAATATTCTTGGACCTAGAGAGCTTGTTATATTGGATGAAGTATAATCAATTAACTGTCTGTATCATTATATTCAGAATTTTCAATCCTTTAATTCATGCTGAAGACTTTACCAGTGCAATATAGCCTATTTATCACATACCCCTGCAGATTTTGGGACTCTGTAAAACCGGTATTGCATGGACATGCACATATTTTGACGTGACATCACTTGCGTTATATACAAACATGGTGTAAAGACGCGCTAAATGTTAGCGCTACACTATAGGCGCGTCATTGAAAAATGATTCTTTTTCGCTTTAAACACTCTTTATTTTGGATATGTGATAAATAGAATTTTATATTTGTGTAAGTTCAATACTGAGTTCATTGAACTCGTTGAATAAAACTAGAGGATGCTTTTGTAAAAAAGCGCATGTCTCCCCCACTGCACTGTGACCTTGACCTTTGACCTACTGACCCCAAAAACAATAGGGATCATCTGCTCTATAAGACCAATCATCCTATGAAGTTTGAGGGCTGTAGGTCAAAAGGAACTCTAGTTATCATCCGGAAACGAGAAATTGACCAACGGTCACTGTGACCTTGACCTTTGAACTACTGACCCCAAAAACAATAGGGATCATCTGCTCAATAAGACCAATCATCCTATGAAGTTTGAGGTCTGTAGGTCTAAAGGAACTCTAGTTATCATCCGGAAACGAGAAATTGACCAACGGTCAGTGTGACCTTGACCTTTGACCTACTGACCCCAAAAACAATAGGGATCATCAGCTCTATAAGACCTATCATCCTATGAAGTTTGAGGGCTGTAGGTCAAAAGGAACTCTAGTTATCATCCGGAAACGAGAAAATTGACCAACGGTCACTGTGACCTTGACCTTTGAACTACTGACCCCAAAAACAATAGGGATCAACTGCTCTATAAGACCAATCATCCTATGAAGTTTGAGGGCTGTAGGTCAAAAGGAACTCTAGTTATCATCCGGAAACGAGAAATTGACCAACGGTCACTGTGACCTTGACCTTTGAACTACTGACCCCAAAAACAATAGGGATCATCAGCTCTATAAGACCAATCATCCTATGAAGTTTGAGGGTTGTAGGTCAAAAGGAACTCTAGTTATCATCCGGAAACGAGAAATTGACCAACGGTCACTGTGACCTTGACCTTTGAACTACTGACCCCAAAAAACAATAGGGATCATCTGCTCAATAAGACCAATCATCCTATGAAGTTTGAGGTCTGTAGGTCTAAAGGAACTCTAGTTATCATCCGGAAACGAGAAATTGACGAACGGTCAGTGTGACCTTGACCTTTGACCTACTGACCCCAAAAACAATAGGGATCATCAGCTCTATAAGACCAATCATCCTATGAAGTTTGAGGGCTGTAGGTCAAAAGGAACTCTAGTTATCGTCCGGAAACGAAGAATGGACGGACGGACTGACTGACAGACGGACGGACTGACGGACGGACGTACCAAAATTTGATGTTTATGAGGCAAATGAGCTCATAAACACCACCTGGACCAACGTCCATAAGCAAAATAAGCTCATAAAAACAAAAAAAAACTCTTAATTTTAAATTTTATGAGTTTATGTTCTTTATTTAACTACGGAATGAAGCTCATAATAATCAAATGTTGGCTCGGACGGACGGACAGGGCAAAAACAATATGTCTCCCCCCGAGGTGGGGGAGACATAATAATATTATGCTCGCCAGAGGCTTGCACAATATAACTTTATTCAACTCATTCAATAAATTCAGTATTGAACTTATACTCATTCAATATCCTCTATTTATTACATGTTTTTTCAGGGGTTTATAGAAATATCTGTGAAATATAGAACTGATATTTCACTGTTTGAAACAGTGAAAATATCAATTTGATATTTATCACAATTTTGAATTTAAGTCTATTATGTTGTTTCAGTGAGATACAAGCGTGCATAGTACTGGAAACCAACTTAATGACTTGACATCAAGAATGACGTCATGATGTATTTTTATTTGGCGCTCTTTTCATTTATTATTAGGTTAAACTCATTACTGTCTTTTTAAACATTTCTTTGCATATAATACAAAATTTTTTTATTAAGATTAGTGTAAGATCAAAATATATTTCACCTCGTGAACACCAAAAAATCATATTTCACTTGTGGCGGCATCTCTCGTGACATATACCTTTTAGTGCTCACTCGGTGAAATATAATCCGATCTTACACTGATCTAAACAAAATATATTCTATATCATTTACTGTATATATCACTTTTAATTAAGGCATTACTGATCCTTAAATTTATGCCATTGAAAAATAATCCAATGAGTGTAATACAAGTGAAATATGACCTATATCAGTGAAATATGACCTGTATCAGTGAAATATGACCTATATCAGTGAAATATGACCTGTATCAGTGAAATATAACCTATATCAGTAAAATATGACCTATATCAGTGAAATATGACCTGTATCAGTGAAATATAACCTATATCAGTGAAATATGACCTATATCAGTGAAATATGACCTGTATCATTAACTGTGTCAGTTAGGCTTGTTCTCGTTCTAAGGTAATGGAACCTAATGATCATATATTTAAGCTACCATATTGATATTTTCTCAAATAATGACAACACAGTGGAATTTAATACTCTATCACATGACAAAAGTATACTAAATTACTTTCATATAAGAATATTTAAAATCTTTGACACCTTAAATAGGATTGATATAACCTTTTTTCCTAAATTTATACAGATCATAATATTAAATATATACAGAAACTAATATGAGAGGAACAGACATTAATGTCGCAACAAGTTTAAAAGCTTTTTTTGGGTTTGCATTACACTTTTTCAAGGTCAAAATCTTAATATTATTAGGACCTTTCTGAAATAGCATAACATAACAGGGAAACATAGAGTCATTACTGGCATGTGATAAAGTTGGTTATTAGACTGATTCCTTTCAGAAAAACTAATTAATACATAAAAGAGCAAGTCAATTTTGTCTAATTACAACATTAATAAATACATAATCTGAATAACTTTATTAACATCTTATTGAGCTCAATTATTTTTTATTTGTAGCTAATTTAACATACACCCAAATTTATAAAGTTAGCAAACTTGGTTATGTAATTCAGGCTCTAACCCTTGCTTCAAGGGTAGAATGGCAGTCACAGTAGCCATTTAGTTAACTCGTTACCTCCCCCTTTCTATTACTAAAACTGACACTGATATGCGTACATAACTAAGTAGAACATGACAGGTTCGGCACAATCATATGTGTACATACCTAAGTAGAACATGATAGGTTTGGCACTATGTGTACATACCTAAGTAGAACATGACAGGTTCAACACTATCATATGTTTACATACCTAAGTAGAACATGACAGGTTCGGCACTCTTATATGTGTACATACCTAAGTAGAACATGACAGGTTTAGCACATTCATATGTGTACATACCTAAGTAGAACATGACAGGTTCGGCACTATCATATGTGTACATACCTAAGTAGAACATGACAGGTTTAGCACATTCATATGTGTACATACCTAAGTAGAACATGACAGGTTTGGCACTATCATAAAATTATGTGTACATACCTAAGTAGAACATGACAGGTTCGGCACTCTTATTTGTGTACATACCTAAGTAGAACATGACAGGTTCGGCACTATCATATGTGTACATACCTAAGTAGAACATGACAGGTTCGGCACTATGTGTACATACCTAAGTAGAACATGACAGGTTCGGCACTATCATATGTGTACATACCTAAGTAGAACATGACAGGTTCGGCACTATGAGGTTCGGCACTATGTGTACATACCTAAGTAGAACATGACAGGTTCGGCACTATCATCAGCCTGGTACATCATCAACTGTCCATGCTCATCAGACACGATATAAACCTCGTCGCAACCATACGAGTGCCTGTGATTCTTCACCTTCTCCTCAAGGTCGTCAAAGTTCAAGGTCATAGTATCAGTAGCTGACATTGACCTTGACCTTAGACCACGATTCCTCTTTCTAAGACATGATTTTAATGGCTTCCTGTCAATATTCGGTACAGAGCTACCACTCGATGAATTAGAATCCATTCCTAGTGCTAAACCCTGATAGTACTCATTCCCAACAACAATAATTTTGTCCGATTCCACGGCCCTATAAAAGTCACTTTCTGTAAAATCTTGATCGCCACAGAAGTAATTACATTTCGCTCCACTGTCTGAACTCGTAGCACTTTTCTGGTCATTATTTTCACAACACATGTCTCTATTACAACACGGTTGATCAGGGGAAGCAACTGGTGTTTGTTCTTCCTCAACAGCATACAAGTTTTCACTTCCTTCAATTTCTGGCTTCTTTCCAGCACTTATCCATTTTTCACTTATCCTACACTGACCTTGACCTTTTGCAACAACTTGAGGTCGTGCCTCATTAGCATATTTTTCTATTTTTGGATTTGCTGGGTTAGCACACTCTGACAGTCTACTAGGCAAGGACTTTGCCCTCTTTTTAGAACCACAACAATTCTTTGAAGACTTTATTTTCTCCTCTGTATGAGGTGGATAGAAAATCAACCTTTCAAGGTCATTCTGAGGACTTTCTGCTGACCTTGACCTGCAATCACAATAACCTGGATCAATGCCAGAAGAGGCGGAGCTTGTTGAAATTCCACTACTACTTGACCCAATTTCATTTTCAGTCCCTTTAGTTTTACTCTTATTTGGACAGCATTGTGACTTATGTTGACACGGTGACGCCGTCTGCTTATAGATATTAAACTGTTCTAGTTCTGTCTTTGGAACAATTGTTACTGGGACTGGTAAATCCAGTTTCATTGCATCAAACAGTGAGTCTTTACTTTCATCTTTTTCAATCGTAATTGATGAGGACAAGAACGCGATGTCTGGCAGAGATTGTTGTGAATAATGCTTACTTAAACCCATTCTACGCACAGGTGACTCAGATTTTCCACCCAAGCGTCCAGTTGACTTTGATCTTCCAAAATGACCGGTTCTCTGTTGGTAAGATTTATTTGTACAGAATGGCGTCTTGTCAGTTTTACTGCGGTACCCGTCTGCACTTTTTGACCTATGAATTTTGGGACTAGAATCTTTATCAACAAATGCTATATCAGGGCAACTAAGCAGTTCTTTTGCAATACCTTCATTCGATTTAAGAAAACCAAACTCTTCAAAATTGTCTGAGAGGATAGATAAAATTTCTTCTTCTTCAAAATCAGATGTTTGTAAAGCTTGGTCTTTTTTAGAAATTCCTGACAGAATCCCAGTTTCCTTCATTGTTTGCTGATTTTGAAAGGTTTGAATTGAACAGTCCTTGGTGACAGGGGGAAATTGTGACGCAACTGTCTTTGTACCACACCATAGAGTGACAGTCTGTGGGGATATAATAGTCTCTTTAGAAGAAAAATCATGTACATGCCCAGTCTGACAGGCCAGTGAATTTGGTCGTGACCCAGAAAAGTCCATTTTTAACCAATCATAAATTCGCTTATTTGAGTAACCTTTGACCCCACTATCAGGTAAACCTTCAACAATATTATGCCGTCCACACTGACATTGTCCGCACTCTTGAGACGATCCTGATGAATCGCTCATTTCTGCTTTGGCTTTTTGTCCAATAAAATTAGGCCATAGAATATGCTCTAAATTGTTCATAGTTTCGGGGGAAACTGGATTAGATTGACTTTTCATTCTTTGGTAAAACTCCAGCAGTGACGCGGAGTGCCGTTTACCGTGGAAGCTCTGGCTTATTTCTGACAATTTCCTACTTTTTAAAGCGGAAATATTTTGCCAGGTCATTGAGGTATTTAATTCAGGTAAACTTGCACATTTATTATAGTCCCCTTTCTTAAAATTCTTTAACTGCTTCCATGACAACAATTTCTTCACCTTCGGTAACGTATGACTGTGAACACCAGCTTTCCTTAAAATTTCTTCCGGTTTTCCGATCCCAACTAAATATAACTGTCCAGATTTCCTTCCTTTTAGTTGATTTATCTGTTCGCCTAATAATTTCATTTTCTTCTTTGGCGATGTTTGTGGGCTTACAGATGATACGTCTTTACTTCCCGCTGTTAACGTTGTACTTGTCCTTGTATTCTCATCTTCACTAGAATCACCAGTTTCAATAATCGTTTCTTTTAGAGGAACCAATTTTTTAAGCACACGTCCAGACAAATTTTCGCGCCCAGAATACTGGTTACCTTTATGACGGGGAGATAATTTATTAAAACACATGTGGAAACTGTCCGTACTCTCTTCTTGTCCTTCGGAACTAGAGAACTCATTACTAGCATCGTGACCTTGACTCGTATAAATTTGTGCTGAGTCATGTGATGTTACACTAGCCTCACTTTGAACACTTTGTACCCAATGACCTTGGTAAGATTCATGGGAATTCATTGATAAAGAAATATCAGTCTCAGAACCAGAAACGCGTGACTGTGAACCATCAAAGGATAAAAAGTATTCCTCTTTACGTGGGTTACAATCAACATTTAGATTTGTCTCCCCTGAACCGTTACTTCCACTCATTTCTCCATCCACTACATCACGAGCATTTTTATCTAAACTGTCAGTTAATAAATGTGTGGGTGTTGGTGTAAATAAAGGTCCATCACTTAAATCAATTATATCACTAGACCCCATCATATCACGATCACTGGACGACATTTCCATTGTAGAATTTCGCGAACCGGAATTTCCGGAAAACTCAGAATCATACTGTACCCTATCTTCCTGATTGTTTATAATATTTGAAACGCGCATGTTATTTAAACTTACATTTGACGATGCTTTTGAATTGTTAAAACTAACGTTAGATGATCCGCCATTGTTAAAATGTAAGTAACTGCCCGACACCATATTTGGAAAATCTAAAATTGTTGTACTCGGATCAGAATCAATGGGCGTGACAGAAGTTTCGCGTAAATTTGTATCGAACTGAACAGAGAAATCATCTTCATAAAAATATTCGTTATCGCACATGTCATCCGAACCATTTACTCCTTTCTCTTTTTTAGGTGACCCGTTATCGTTTAATGACGTATTACTGTTTACAAGTGCATTTTGGTTATCGGGTAAATGGGAAGTACAATTGTTTGAACAGTTGCATGATCCTGATTTTTTACAAGGGGAACCGGCTTTTGGTGAACAGTTACATTTGGTTTCCGGCTCCTTATTCGTCACTTTATGTTCTAAATTTGCATATTCATCATCACGTTTCACACGTTCACCTGGCTCCATTTCTGAACTAGAGGTCGAATCATGTATTGTCTTGCTAGTGCTAAATCTAAACATCCTTGGCCCATAATCCGTACTATGGTTGCTATGACTACTATTGTCTAAATCTGAACTTGAACTTGATTTTGACGGTGATATATTTTTCCATGATGTCATTGCCTTAGAGTTTTTGTTTTTAGTTGGAGAACTGTCAGGAGATTTATTCCCATCCTTCTTTGCCTTTTTCGGTGAACCACCTTTAACCTGACCCCATGTTGTCGTTTTAGAACTGTCAGAACTGTCAGACGATGATGAAATAGACAATCTGATTGGTTGACTATTAGTAAAACTAAATTTGGTTGGCTGATTGTCGGATCCTGACTTATTGTTTGAAAGTTTGCCTTCTTCATTATGTTGAGGTGAAATATTTTCATTTGGAATTGTAACAGGAGTGCTGGTTGGTAGAGCAGTTGTATCGGCAGTTCTGATTGGCTTATTCAAATCATTCTGAGACTGGTTATCAACCTCATTCATATTGATTGGTCTGGTTATGACTGGTCCAGGATAGATAACTTGTCCCTGCTCACACGTTCTACTATCTCCTCTCCACACTCCCTGAAAGCAGACGAGAAAAACAAAATGTCATTAAAGTCATACAAAAAATAAGTTAATAGCTGAAATGAATAAACAACTTAAAATGCAAAATATTTATTCAAACAGTAAGTCAAAAAGTATGCTTATTATGGAATTGTAAATTTTCATAGTCATACTGTTCAAAAAGATGCATGCAAATTTATGGTCACTGTATAATATAATGCCTAATGTGTTCTTGTAAAAAAAATCATGATTTTGTGATTTCATTTGAGCTAAAGGTGTTTGAATGGTATGGTATTCACGAATTCGAAAACCTAGCTAAATGCCGTTTTCCGGTACTTTCTGTACATAGCTGTGGGGAATTCGCGTAATGGAGTGTAATAAAGCACTCTATGTGTTTGGCCTTTTTTGAATTAATGTGAAATAAAACAGTTATTTCTTTGTAAGAAAACAATTAAATATCATTGTATGAATAATTCCATACAAAATATAAAGTAAATACACAAGATTACGCTGGAAATATCTTTATTTATTGTGGAAGATGCCACTACGACTGTTTTAATTTTATTTATTTTCATTATCACCAATTTATTTTTTGAAAAAATTGCAATAGATATTAAAGGAATATTGATAATTTTCAAACACATCATTTTTTTCACCTTAAACGGTAAAATAATGAAAGAAAAATAGAAATATCATGCAACTGTGTTATGTACTTCATTTGATGTAATTCCCCAGAGCTAAATCCGTAATGTACCGGAAAACGGTGTTTAGCTAGGTTTTCGAAAAGGTCAATAGTGGTAGAAAATTTTTTAGGGTGAATAAAAGAATAGAGGAAAATAAAATAGACAGTCAGAGACATAAGTATAAAGGTCAGAAAGACAGAAAATACAGAAAAATACAAAAATCTAAGCCTAAAATTGCAGTCAAATATGTTGTATAAGTATATAAAATGCTGACTGAAGAAATAAAGACAAGAATTTTCAAAAGTATCTGCTGATTCAGCAAAAAATAAGTCTGGTGTACAGACACTAAGACTGGGATATTTTAGAAAACATTATAGCATAATAGATTATGCAAAAATGGAACACAGTCTAGGCTAGGGGAAACATTATCTAGTAAATTTGCTAAACTTAGGTCTGCCAAGGCAAAGTAGTATAGACATGTTGACTTACAGTATCTCCAACAAAAACAGGATTTGCTGTAAGGTATTCAACCCATTATCATCATATTTAAGGCAGAGATTTTTCATAAATAAGGCAGAAAGGCAGAAATATTTCATACTAGTAAGGCAGAAATCTTTCATAAGTAAGGCTGAGATCTATCAAATAAGGCAGAGATCTATCATAAATAAGACAGAAATCTTTCATATATAAGACACAGATCTATGGTAAATAAGACAGAAATCTTTCATAAATAAGACAGAGATCTATCATAAATAAGACAAAGATATTTGATAAATAAGGCAGAGATATTTGATAAATAAGGCAGAGATATTTGATAAATAAGGCAGAGATATTTGATAAATAAGGCAGAGATAAATGCACAGCTGGGCATGATTATTCTATATCAAGGTCAAACTATGCGATAGTTTATTATCATTGTATTTATGATAGTCATATTGCAAATATTTTTTTACTCTAATAAAAGAGTCTATGCATCTTTATATATCCATTAAATAAATTCTTGACAGGTTATAATTATAGTCATATATAAACAGTTGTTTGCAATATACACCAGTAGTCTGTGTCTTGTGTCACAAATTTTAATACAAGGCCATATAACCCATCAAAACTCTTTATAACTAATAATATAAACATTAACTGAATAGAGAACAAATGAAAAATAACTTCAAAAACTACTAAAGTTCAACTCAATATATTTTAGAAACCAAAATTGGTTTTTATCTTACATTTCCCAAAGGTAACCATATAACTAATATGTATACAACACAAGATTGATATAAAAAATATTTTTTTTTTGTCTCACCACTAAACCAGTAAGAAACGACCACATATTTGTCTTTCCAGAAATAACTCCTTTGAAATTCCAGACAGAATGTTCAGAACTTAACAGATCACAATAGCTTTTACATAAATCCTACACAACACAAAAACATCTTTTTTGTCTTTCTTAAACTATAACCATAGGAATCCTTCCTGTTTCCCCTCAAAGACAATAACTCGTATAACTCTAGACATTATATAATTTATACCGTTTCCATGGCAACAAGTATATAAACATAGTACTTTTTAACTTCCTGCTATATATTATATTATTACTGTGTCAATGAGCTTTTATATTTCCTCTAGATACTATTTTCTCTAATTTTGCAAAAATATCCATTGTACTTATGTATCAAATTTTTTAAATGACAGTCATTTTAACATTAATTAAAATCCTCTCAGTTACTTTACCCCATATAAACATATTGCACTTCTTATATAGGCTATTTTAGCTTTCTCTTTTGAAACTGTCCATTTACATGTACAGCATTTATTACCGCAGTTATATGAAGAGGCTAGGTTAGGTTTAGTCAGCCCTAACAGTATACAGCCTGGTCATACCACCAGGATTGCAGGCTGGCCTGGCTCTATACTGGTGACAATTTAAATATTCTCAACCACTTAAACCCTAATACCAGACGACCTTGAAAGGTATAACCAGATGACCTTGACCGATATACCAGACAACCTTGACCCTTATACCAGTCCATCTTGACAGGTATACCAGTCCATCTTGACAGGTATACCAGATGACCTTGACAGGTAAACTAGACAACCTTGACCGGTATACCAGACGACCTTGACAGGAATGCCTTTATCAAGGGTTTCAAAATCCTGAAGTCCTTTTTTATAGGAGGTTGGGTTACAAATCTCAAAGTAAGTTAATGCAGCAAGAAATTTCAAGATCAAAACATTAACCAGTGGCGTCATATTCATGTAGTAAAACTTTAGTCATAAGCATAAAGCTGGCCTGACTTTATACTGGTGGCATCAAGCCTGCTTTTTCCAGCTAGAATTTGGTTAAAGTTTTAAATAACTCCTTTTCTATCTTCAAAAAACATGCAATTTGTCTTGTAGTAGAGTTAATCAATAGTTTAAACCAAGAAAATGCTTCATTTATATTCTGAAAAATAACTCAATTACTTATTTTTAACTAAGTTTTCAGCCCCAATCAATTTCTGCATAAGACAGTCTGTATTGGTAAGAGCTTGTTTTCTGAGACAAGTCTGTGTCTTTAGAAACTTGCATTCTGAGACATTAGTCTGTGTCTTCAGAAGCTTGTTTAATAATGTCTGCTGCACAGTTGCAATTTATTATCTTATCTCCATCTATCAATGATTATCAGACTACAATGTTAATTTATTTGTCTCAGTTTTTGTATTCAAAGAATTTTGGACAGGTACTGAAAAGTCTTTAGTTATCTAACTACAAAAACATTTCTGACATACTTTATACCTAAGAATTAAACAAAACAATGGTTACATGTATAAAGTTAGTTTTTTTTAGTTTATAAAAATTTATATTAGTTTGATTATGTTGGAAGCTATAAGCTTATTGAAACACTTGCAAATCCGTTCCTGGAACCAACCAAGTACTAAGCAATGAATGTAAAGTTTCTTGCTCAAGGAAACAACAGCTTGCCTCTGACTGGGTTTGAACCCACGCGGTCAGCAATCCTTTGAATACTAGTCAGATGCATAAACCACTCGGCCATAATCTATGATTTTTACCCTAGCATTTTTGAAGTTTTCAGCCCTCAGTAACAAGCATTTGCAGCCCTTTTTAAAGTTCAAATCACAGCAATTAGAAATACATCATTGAAAGCTATTCAGGAAGCCCATTTTAAAGCACACAATTAAAATACAAGATTTTTAAAGTGACCCTTATATGTTCATATCAAATGCTTTCTTAAACTTAAATGGTTAAACCATGTTAGAAATGTACCCAGTGATCATTCAAAGTTACATGACAGCAATAAGTGACAGCTGTTTAAATTGATCCTTCTTAATTTAACCCTTACAGTGCTGGAACCCAAAGTGTTAAGCCTTTGCCACCAGTATAGAGCCTGGCTAGCCTGCATGTCCCTGCAGTCTGACCAGGCTCTATACTGTTGGCTGACAAACTATAAATACTCCAATTGATATCCCTAAAATTGATAATGGACAGTCCCAAAATGTAAGTGGGACAAGTCCATGGTTCAAATCACAGTAAATAGAATATTTAAACATGCATCTTTTTGAAATGTTATTTTAAGCTCAAACCACAGACAAGGTTTAAACCACATTATATAATTCAGTAGATTAATGGCAAACCTCATCTTGCATGTACTTTATATACATGTACAGCACTACATTACATATTACCTGTATCAACTCCCAATTATAATATAAATGAGAGAATATTTTGAGTAGCAATGTAATTAAGAAATTAATTAACCTTGTATGAAAGGCATTACTGTTTCGTATTATGTATTAATAAATGTTATAACATTCTTACATCAGATAGAACATATTATAGCAACACTGGATGATCGCAACACTGTCTTAACTTGTTCTATAAGGTTAATGAGTTACATCAGTGTTGTATGGACTCCGACATTCATTCATTAACAGGTTAATTAGTAGAGCTAAATTTTCTGGCAATATATACACAAATCAGTCAGAGTCCAAGAGTTGGTTAAGTTGGTTATATGGTGAAATGTTCAGCTGTGTTAGGAAATGTACAATAAGTATAGGTTAATAAGTTTATATGTACATATTTACAAAATTAAATTGGTCAGGTGCAGCGCAACTATATAACAATTCCTTTTCCAGTCAACTCAAGAGCCAAGCCAACCTTCATCAAGTGCTATGGAATTTTGATTCATCATATCAGTACCTAATGTTAAATATCTTTATACCCTGCTTGTGGATCGACACTGCATCTACCAATCAACCAGTGCAGACCAAAATCAGATGGCATGACCATGGTCAGCTCTGTGTTCATTCAATACTTATTTTTGAAATTTTACCTAAA